ACTACAAAATAATGTAATACTTCAGATGCGTCTACTACACAGAGTTTGGTAGAGATGAACCATGAAAAGTTTCAGTAAACCAGTCGTTCTTTATAATTGTGATTTAGCTATTTTGTCGACCCAGCATCTTCTGTAATGAAAGACACTTTTTACCTCATCTTATTCAGGATAGTTTCAGAAACATATCATCCAAAATTGCTGAAGTTGTTCTGTATCTACCATTTCATTCAGTTACTTAGGGTTTTTTTTCCAGTGAGCATTTATACAGAGAATATTGATTAAAACCTACATGCCTTTCATTTTTTGCAACCTACTTAATCCCTTCTTGTTGTAGATACATGTGAACCCACGAGTATCAATTGCACTTCATCTATTTCAGGAGCACTGGTTCGGCTTGAACAAAGTAGAACTGAAATTCACTCTGATAGATTTCCATTCGGGTCTGAAAGTCAGAATTACAGAAGGTGGATCTAACTTCACCGTTGCTGAGCTAGAGTAGCACTACTTGAAAAGGGTTTTTAATAAAATTCTAAAAGGTTTTGATATATCTGCCTAGCGCCACGACAAAACTATCACTCCGTATGTGTATTAAATATTCTCACGCTTGCAAATTCATTTATTTCGTTCTCCGGATAAGATGAACGATTTCAATTGTCTGCAGATTTTCTGGGAAAATAAGTATTTATGACGGGGCCATGAGTGTGTAAATTTTGAAAATGATTGAATAAATAGTGTTTATTGAACTGAAAGGGTTGTATTCCTAGAAGTAATTAATTTTTGGGAAAGAAACCTGGAAAAAAAGCCTTCCTGAAACAGACACTTCCATATGAACATTGAATTACACCAAAGAAATATTTCTTCGAAACAAATACTTTCACATGATCACTGAATTTTACAAAAATATACTGGATGAAAGGTGAAAAATTGCACACACATGGAACACTGTCATCACCACCAATCGCGGATTGCGATTCCAAGAATTGCATATATCGGTTACCCTGTGAGTGCGGAAAATTCTATATCGGTGAAACTAAGAGGCCATTGAATGTTCGCATTGCTGAGAGAAAATACTCAAATGACCCATAATAGTCATCTCTCGGAGGAAACAGTCCACTCATCACCCGAAGACGATTGCCTGGTTTTCATGAGGCTGCTTCGGAGAGTGTTTTCGGATTTGAAGCAGGTTTTGATGTTGTACTTAGAACCTACTCTTCTTATCCATTCCGATAATCCTCCGATGTAGGGAAGTGCAAGTACTGGTTGTGACGGCTTCTCTTCCTTGCGAGGCTCCTGCTGTATTTTAGCTAAAGTCTGTTCCACCATGGCTTTGAAGTAGCCATTCCGTTGAAGATCATTTTTGATTATGTCTAGTTCCTTCTCGACACCTTGTCTCGTATTACAGAGCGCGAAAGCTTCAAATTAGACTATTCAAGGCCTATGTCTTCTCTTCATCGAAGTCATTGGTCAGTTTTTATTTCAAATAAATTTTCGGGCCCATCTATTCAGATATGGCCGATTTTCCTGTCCATGAAGCTGAAATGCAAACTCGTAGTTTGCATTTTCGCGTTTTCAGTATTATAACTTATCAAAAGGATACGTTTGTTTAGTCTAGCCTGAACAAAACATAACCAATGATGATGCCGCCAATCAAAAGACATTCCTTAGCTAACTAACAGTTCTGTTTTTATTTTTTATATAGATTCACTTATAGATAACTTATCAAAAGGATGAGTTTGTTTAGTCCAGCCTGAATAAAACATAACCGTTGATGATGATGCCAATCAGAAGACATTCCTTAGCTGACTAACAGTTCTGTTTTTATTTTTTATATAGATTCACAAATTTTATTATGTGAATGCCAGTGCTTCTCCCTATTCTGTAATTGGGTTCATCCTGTAGAATAGTGTATGAAATAAATAAATATCATATTGGAATGATGTTGGGGCCGCGGTTGCTGAGAATACGTGCGTTATGTATGCAGATGACACATCACTTCTAATTTCGGACAAAGACACCACAATTTTGAAAGAAAATTGTAACATGGTGTCAAATCATCTGGTTTCATGGTGTGCCGTCAACTCACTTCATTTCAACTCTCGAAAAGCTTCATTAGTACGGTTCCATCACAGGCAAAAGAACTGTTCAATTCCTGAAATTAAAATTAATGAGAATGAAAACACACTTTCTTTATCCGATGAATGTAAATTTTTGGAACTCACGCTAGATACCTATATGTCTGAATTGGAAGAGTCATTGTAATAAACTGATATTGAAACTAAGTTCTGTTTCGTATCTGATACGAAATCTTAAGCCGATATTAACCACTGAACAGTTGGTAAATCATTAGTAGGCACATATAGAATCTAGAGTCAGATATGGCGTTTGTCTTTGGGGAAGCTCTTCATTGGCTCTAAATATATTTATTGCCCAAAAAAAGATTATGCGAATTTTGGCAGGCGTTTCCCGGATATTCTCATTTTTGAAATGTGTGTATTCATACACACCAAACTTCGAAACATGATCGCATTTCATCTTACCATAATGTAAATACGCATAATTCCCGTCAAATGTAATAAAACCGCTAACTCACCTAATTACTTGGGGCTGAAACTTCATAACAAACTGCCCGAATCATTAAAAACTACTGATAGAATTCAGGTTTTCAAAACTACTCTCGGAAGGTTTTTATTAGATTATAATTTTCATACCATAGATGAATTTAATGAAACTGGAGTTGAAAGAAGTTGATATGTTTTGTCCACCATTGTATGGCTATGACAACCTTACATATTTTATATGTTTGGTTTGATTTCACTTTAAGAATTATTTTATGTATGTACAAAATGCTATTTGACCTATCCTATAATTTTATTATGGGATAGGTCAAAGTTGTACAGGATAACTGAAATTATTTGATTTGATTTTGAATATTGTAATTTGAGTGTTGGCAGTTCTGCAACACTACCTAATGTAATCTGTCTGGAGTTGAAAGAAGTTGATATGTTTTGTCCACCATTGTAAAATCTTTTTTATAGGATAGGTCAAAGTTCTACAGGATAAATGAAATTATTTTATTTGATTTTGAATATTGTAATTTGAATGTTGGCAGTTCTGCAACACTACCTAATGTAACCTGTCTGGAGTTGAAAGAAGTTGATATTATTTGTCCACTATTGTATGCCTATGACAATCTTTCATATTTTATATGTTTGCTTTGATTTTACTTTGAGAATTATTTTATGTATGTACAAAATGCTATTTGACCTATCCTATAATTTTGTTATGGGATAGGTCAAAGTTGTACAGGATAACTGAAATTATTTGATTTGATTTTGAATATTGTAATTTGAGTGTTGGCAGTTCTGCAACACTACCTAATGTAACCTGTCTGGAGTTGAAAGAAGTTGATATGTTTTGTCCACCATTGTAAAATCTTTTTTATAGGATAGGTCAAAGTTCTACAGGATAAATAAAATTATTTGATTTGATTTTGAATATTGTAATTTGAATGTTGGCAGTTCTGCAACACTACCTAATGTTACCTGAACCTTTACCTGAATGTATTTTGAACACATAAATACAGAAAATTATGAAAAACATTAACCATTTCGTAGTCTAGTGATAGGAAAGTTAAGTGTGACTAGGATCTGACTGTAAGTATACTTCTTCGAATTATTTTTAGTACACTGAATATTTGAGTTTCCCACAATATGGAAAGTTTGTGGAATATACATTACTGAAGTTTTCTCGGAAAATAGTGACGGATATAATTGGATTAGTTCTGCGATATATCATCGGCATCCGAACATCATTATAAAAATAAATATATATTGGTGCGTCTGCACTTAGTGTTAGTGTCAAAAATTCGTGAAATGGAGTATCGATTATGTTAAAATAATCGTATAGTTGGGTAGGTAATTGGAATAATGAAGACAAATAGTATTTGAGTATTTAATGAGTAGAGACGAGTAACTTCACCAACAGAAGATTGTCGTATGAATTCATTCATTCACTCGATTCAAATGAAGCATAGCGTAATTTATGTGTGACAATACTTTTTTTAAATCATTTTGCTTGTGTAAGTTGTGTATATCATAATTAATATCACATGATTTTTTTCAAGTTAGCTTCTATGTGTATATCTCATTCGCGTCAATTGTGTTACATGTTCACCTCAAATCAATGTTGAGAGTGAATGCAATGAACACAGAAAATGAAATTGTAGGAAGGGGGACGTGAATTGAATTTTATTTTTCCAAGCATAGGCACGCCTATGGAAAATGTAATGCAGTCAAGTGTAAAGGTAGGCTACACTTGTTTGTTGAAAGCAGGAAACAACACATACGTACGGAGTCGACAACAGAAGCCACCTGCACATTTGTGGTTCCAGTTAGAAGACCTAGAATTCCTAGGCTACATCTAACATGACCACGTAGGCAGCTATAGCTACCCGGGCGACATTCAGGTCCAGGATATGAATTCAAATAGAGATTTTATCGAGTGTGTATGATACCGATCAAAAATGAAACAATTCGTGGACACAACACTCCATTAATGGGGGGGGGGGCAAACCGCGGACACATGTTTCTGGCTATTGGCCATGACAAATGTCATACCTTCACATAAATGTCATTTTTCAATGGGTGTGATGATTTCATAATCTTTGACTTTAAGAAAGAGTTATTGATTGATACAATTTTTATTATTATCATGTTTTTGATGTAGTTCCAGTAAGTTACTGTATATATTGCTGAGATTATCAATGTCAGTTTTCTTGTTCATACAAACAGAAGACTTATTAATTTCAACCATTTCAAGAAAAAGGCGTTTAGAAATATTTTTTTCTGTGTGTGAAAATTTGATATTAGAGTAATTTGGTTTATGTCCTGTTTCTATAGAATGTTGTGCTAATGCGCATGAACCTTTATTAAGCTGTTTTTGTTATTTGTTATTGTATATGTTATTTCAGATATGAACATGGATGCTACTCTTATCCAAAAGCTAGTAAATATGCTACAGTGTCCAACCTGCTCTGCTCAGATGGTCCCACCACTCATTCATTGTTCCGAAGGGCATCATTACTGTAACAATTGCATCTTAGTGAATACACATTGTCGGGAATGTCAATTACCAATGAGATCCAGGAGAAACTATGCTTTTGAAAGTCTGTGTTTTTCTTACTCGTTGAAATGCTCCTTTGCCCCAGATGGATGTCTATTTACAGGCACTTGCATTGTTGTTGCGGAACACGAGAGGTGTTGCGAATTTTCTCGAACACAACAACGACATTCTGTTACGTTATCTGAGAGGGTTCGTCCCATAGAGGGTAAGTTGATGTCATTACTGTATTTGGTTGTTTCGCGATATTTTAAATTTTTATTGAAACGTTTTGCTATTCATTGAGTTGCATAGATATATGAAAACAATGGGCTTGTTTCATGCTATGGAAAATGATACTGGTTTGCTTATAGACTGATCGAGTTAGGGGTATATAATACTTATCAAGCCTAAACGGTCCCAAAATCTCTTTATATTTGCAGAAAAAAGAATAATTCGAAAAGCAAGAATTCAAATTGGCCGCGTGTCTGTTGACCAGTTAAATTGATCGTTTCTAGAGCGGAGTATTGCAAATTTTTCATGTAAAATTCATCGATCATTTCAAAATCGAATCTTGGTAAAGTTGTCGGGAGTCAGCTTTATCAAAACTAGGCACAACATTTATTTTGGAATTATTTTAACAAAAATATGACGTTTGTGGAAACCATTGACATTAGAAAGGGCACATTGTCGCATACACTACAGAGGGCGCTGGCATACTGGATGACAATATGGCTAATATACCAGTAACGTTGAATTTCTTATTTTTTGGTAGGTGGCATGAATGAATAATTGATTCATTTCATTAGAGTTCATGAGCATTCGGAAACCATTTGAAAATACAGCTCTTTCAATTCTATTTAGAACTATATTTAGATATACCTAACATTTAAATATCAGTTATCGAGCCAAATATTATTGTCCATTTTTTGCCTAATTCGTGGATTCCAGCGATCTTATTATTGTATATTCATTTGTTTGCTGGCTTTATTCTTTAAAAAAATTAATGAATAATTACAGAAAGTTTTGATTGATCGTTCATTTTATCAGGAAAATGGAGTACCCATATCACAATTTATTGGTTTATTCGGCATTGAGAATGTATGTCGTATCGGATCTATTCTGCTTGTTTTTGCAACATTGAGTTTCATACATGATATATTCGAGTTGCACTCGAGCAGTCGTAGTAGTAACATGCTAATATGGATGATATTATTGACGTATTTGTACTCAATGCCAGTAATGAAAAAAGAGAAATGGTTCTAGCAATGATTTCCAAATTGCTAGACCTTTACGATGTTTCTCCCAAGGAACTCGTTTTCTCGCATATTGTGATGCGGAAAAAAGAGACAGGAAATAGAACTGAGAAGAGCCTGCCCTGATATGGACGATCAAATATTATTGGTTTATTCGGCATTGAGAATGTATGTCATATCGGATCCATTCTGCTTGTTTTTGCAACATTGAGTTTCATATATGATATATTCGAGTTACACTCGAGCAGTCGTAGTAGTAACATGCTAATGTGGATGATATTATTGACGCATTTGTACTCAATGCCAGTAATGAAAAAAGAGAAATGGTTCTAGCAATGATTTCCAAATTTCTAGACCTTCACGATGTTTCTCCCAAGGAACTCGTTTTCTCGTATATTATGATGCGGAAAAAAGAGACAGGAAATAGAACTGAGAAGAGCCTGCCCTGATATGGACAATCAAATGGACGATAACTCAGGTTAACTGAAGAGGGCCTTGAAGAAGAGGCGATTTCATATAAAAAACGGCCAACTTTTTCTTAGCTGACAGCTCGCGTAGGAATAATTTGTTTTTTTATCGAGTTTAGTTTGTTGTTTATATTTTGAAAGTATTTTAGAGATATATTTGAATATTGATATGGTGCATTCTTGTGCTGATTTTAATTGTGCGGAAAGGCACTAGAAAACAGAAAGCGCATTGGTTTATAAGTGAGTTATTTCATATAATGAGTTTAGGTTCCCAAATGATGAGAAAAAAATCTGTGAAAGTATTGAAAAGAAAGAACTACAATCCTTCTACAATTCCAAGACTTTATAGAAATCATTCAAAAAGTGACTATAAATGAAAAGGGAACGAAAATATTGAATTTCATGACAGAGATTTTAAGTATTATCTACAAAAAGTATTATCTGGAATTAATCCTGTTACTGAAAGTTTGAAACAAAATGAATTGAATTTTATCATATGATTAACGGTATTATTACCTCAGGAGCTTCTGTTGGATTAGTTCGAGTAAAATCAATTCTGTCTATACTTGACCTCATTCAACCTTCATCTCAAGTTTTGGAAGATTCAACAGATTACTCAAGCCAGCCCATAACGCTTGAATTTAGTAGCTGAGGATTGTAGAATAAATTGAATATTTGAAATGATTCTTCAATCCAGTTTGCTATATTTTTTGATTTTCCTAACTGTTCATAAATGTATTATTGAATAATGCATAAAATCATAGTTTAGGTAAATATTTTGTGATCTATCGACTTTGTGTACTGATTTTAGATATAGAACTTAGTTCCAAACATGATTTTTCGTATACATTTCATTCCATGTGGAGAATTTTTCATTAATTGAAACGTCAACGGGTTCATATACACTTTCATAATTAAATTGATAATTATAGGCTTTGTAAATTTTACGATTTGGCAATGTTGATTATTTCTATTGTTCCTATTGGTCAATCGAACAAGAAGCGAGAATAGGGGCGTGACGTCACCACCCTACCACTTTCGATTTTTAATAATTGATTACTGGAAAACTACGGTACTTAGAGAGATGAAACAAAGTGCACTGTTTTTCAATTCAAAATTTCTATCAAGTGAACTATAAACAAAAAAATCATGAAACAAGCTCATTCAATGAAAGTTACTTATATCCATCATATTATGTTTCTAGGCTATGGCTTCGCATGACTATAGTAAAAATAGCGACATATACTGGCTATCTTGCCGTTGGTGATTTTTGCTTTGTCTCTCTGTATGATGTATATTTTTCACACAATATTTTATTTTTTCGAATTTTTGTGTACAAATACTTATTGATGTTTGGTATTGATCATTTATAGACTCCAGAGGACAATCATTGGAAGAAGCTCTTTTAGCAGAATTAGAATGCCCGGTTTGTTTATCGCTGATTTTACCACCCATAGTAGAGTGTTCTAACGGCCATCGGATTTGCCATGAGTGTTACCAGCGAGTTGAACACTGTCCCATATGCAGAATACCAATGGCGTATACAATAAACCTCATTCTAGGGGATATTTTTGAAATGATGGTGGTGTCTTGTAAACATGCCCGCGTAGGTTGTGAATTCCGCGATAATGTACGTTCTGTCATGGACCATGAGAAGTCCTGTAAGTTCATCGTGAAGTTATGCCCTCTCACGGTGGATGGAATCTGCAAGTGGAAGGGTGCGATGCGTCATCTGGTGGAGCACTGCGAAAATGCTCATTCTGACAGGCTTATCTTAGCAAACGAGTATAGGTGTATTAATGGAAACTTCGAACACCAACTTTCGAATCATAACCTTTTCTACATTAACGGTGTTCTGTTCAGATTTGGGTGGTACGCTTGTGACGGTTTTTATAAATTTTCGGTAAATTCCTTCGGGTACGTAGGAAATGAAGTTCAGTATTCGTACCAAATTAAAGTTTTTCACCGTACTGGCAAATATTTGGTAACAAAGTCGAAAATGTCATGTGCTGATCTGGAGGATGGTGATATTAAATTTCTCAATCGATACTTCATAGAGATGCCACAAGGACTTGATTGTTTCAACGAGCTTGGTGAGATTACTTATGAGGTCAAAATGATTGAACACAGAATGTAAAAGTGTAGAATCGTCACACGTTTCCATTGGATGATATTTTGCGGCTATTTCAGCATGATGACGTCAAATGGAATGGAATGATTCTAAAATTTGTAATTATAGTTTTTGTTTCAAATAAACTTCACAATTCAACATAAATAGTGAGTCTAGTACACAAAAGTGTTTTTTATATCTTCTCACCTCAACATTATAACGTGTTTTCGCTATAATTCTGAAAGGCTTCAAAATATCAGACTTGCGCCGCGAAAGGACACTCCTTATGTGTATTAAAAATCCTCGCGCGTGCCAATTCATTAATTTCGTTCTCCACACAAAATGAACGATTTCAATTATTGCCCGGGTTGAAACCTCATATATGATACCATTGTAACATTTGATAAATATATAATTGTAAGTACAAATATTTTCACACAGGTATATTAACAGAATATGTTATCTGAAATCCATTCACGGGGATGAAGTTCGTTCAGTATTGTCTGAGAGTAAAAGAATTTCAAGAATGCAAACATGTTGCAACATCAAAGAAAGCAACATAGTCATCTCAAGCAAATAGCTCTGCAATTCACCCACAAAGATATGTCTACCCTCTATATCCCTTGAGGACGCCGATAACGAGCCATTAAAATAAGGATATGCGACAAAGAACGCGAAAACACCGACAAAGAATGCGAAAATACCGCCAAAGGAACCGCTCGATGTTTTTTCTGGTATTACGATTAATATTATATCAATAGGCGTCGAACTGGGGATATCAATATGAATTTTCCATTGATATATTCTGTATGATGAGAAGATAATTAAAATATGGTGAAAACTAATTTTGTTTAAATATTTTATTTTGGGAAGGACAATTTATATTTGAAATAGTTTTTTATTATTTAGAATTGTTACCTTCTACAGATCTATAAAATAATCAGAATGTTACTTTCTTTGATAAATCAGCTTTTTGGAAAAAAAAATCAAATTTGTCATTACCTTGAATTTGAAAAATTTTGCACATTAAAAGAAATGTGTATCATCTGACTCTATCCATTTTCTTTGTCCAACCTATTTAAATCAAAACATTATAATTTGTAGTTATGATTCGTCTTTTGAAGTAAATAAATTTGATTCGATGAATATTAAATTGATCATCGATTTGATATTGAAGATGGATATAGTATTCGAAACATGACCAGATAAGTATAAAAATAGAATAGATTTCCGCGGATACAAATTCGAACATCTGATTTCGAGTTGAACCGCGTTCAAAATTTTGCGTTGTTCGACGTTTCGGCTTCGAATTTGACATTTTCAGGAAGAAGAAAAGTGTGGCTGAACTGAGAGATACACTTTATATATTCTTGTTGGTTTGGATTTTATAGTCGATTCGGAAACAATTTTATATATTTAATGGGATCACTCACTTCGAATAAGATATTGTGATAATTTTAATCTGAAAAAAGTGTACAGGGATTCGTTGAGTTATTCTTCACTGGATGAATCCGTTTCATCAGGATTGATGACAACTGGAATAATTTTTCTGATAATGAGTCTATGCGACCATCCAGATCCCACCTCTCCCAGATTTCACATTTTTCCCAAGCATTTCAGTCGATTGTTTCCAGGGCACTGTATAGGTATTTCTTCACCTCACACAGCTTGAAGGTCTTATTATTCCTTGCGATGAATACTTCAACTTGAGCCCAAATCAACTCTATTGGATTCAATTCACAGTGATAAGGCAGCAACCGAAGAACCGACATTCCTTTAGTCTTCGCCACCTCATCGGTGACATACCTGACGAATTTTGACCTATGACGTTTAGCCAAGTTGAGGAACTTCGCTTTTAACATATTTCGTGTTTTAATTTTACACTACTTTTTGATGGGAAAAAATACCGTTCAAGTGAAGCAATGGCTTGAAAATTATTATAAGGACTCCTCTACATCAGAAACAACAATTAAAAGTTGGTTTACTCACTTCAAACTTTGTCGTAGAGACACTGTTGCGGAATTGATTGAGTTTGGCATGTATATCCCCAAAATGTCGGATCAAATCGTCAAAGGTTTTCACCTTGCCTGCTCTTACTTTGCAGCTTCCGGATAAAGGGGATGCATCCGCCCAATCAGCAGCGAACAGTGGAATGTAAAAGGTTGATTGCTTCGTGGGTATAGAGGAGTATACGTAAATCGGAACTTTGATTTTGGATACTCGATAGCACCACCGGCTCGTACGTTTTAACATTGGTACTGTGACTGTCAAACTCAAAAATATTCTATTCGTCTATCGCGAAAAGCAATTTTTGGGCTAGTCCCCTTGACGATATGCGCGACTATATGATTTTCACTATAAAGGGTTTTACGAAAACCGCACGTGTTTCGCTATACAATAGCTTACTCAAGCATAAACTGGTTTATACTTTGGTATTTCCGTAGAGGCGTGTACCAACTCAAAACCTTTTCTTGCTGAGAATATGAAATAGTACAAAATCCCATTGATCTATTGGAAGCCCAAGATTTTTAGAGCAGTCAGATTATCACAAAAAACATCCAAAATATTTTTTGAATGGTTATTTTTGGAGCATTATTGATCTGTTCTCATGCAAGTAAACGTTTGTTCTGATAACGTTCTTCTGAGTATATGAAGACTTTATCATGAATATCATCAGTTAACTGAAGATTTTTTGCCAACAAGAGGGGTTCTCCCGACAAGCTCAAGATCAGGTACTAAAACTTTTCAACTTCAGAAAGGGAGTTTCAGCTATGTATGATACTTGTATAGAGGTCCCAGAACGTAGGCTATGAAACTTTTCAACTTCAGAAAGGAAGTTTCAACTATGTATGATACTTGTATAGAGGTCCCAGAACGTAGGCTACGAAACTTTTCAACTTCAGAAAGGAAGTTTCAACTATGTATGATACTTGTATAGAGGTCCCAGAACGTAGGCTATGAATCTTTTCAACTTCAGAAAGGAAGTTTCAACTATGTATGATACTTGTATAGAGGTCCCAGAACGTAGGCTAAGCTTTCAAGTCTCCATTGAAATGGGGAACGTCAAATCGTGGCAGCTTTACATTACTTTGAGTCATATTTCCATTAGATGAAGTAGAGATTTATGAAAAGGGATCATGAAAAATTGTTTTCATGAAGTGATATTCTTCAACAATTTCAATTCGAATATTATTTTCCCCTTCTTTACCTATGACAGTAGTATCGTCTTGAAGAGCGAGATATTATATAACTACAGAGTGGGTTTCATTAAATTCGTTGTGAATGTCTTCCAATTTTTCATATCTAAATTTAAAAGCTTGCATCCTGAGTGTAATTGATTTAATATAGATCCAAATTGGAAATTTTCTAATTTCCATAGTGAACGATTATAATGAACTGATTCACTAATAAACGACATTATTCATCATCTTTTGGGATACTTTCCATATTGTTATTTTATGTTGAATATCCCATTCATTTGGGTTCTCAAAACATACAAAGAGGACCTTATGGTGTCAGAGGAGAAGTAGGGTTGTTTCATGTAGAACCAAATCCCAAATATCATACATATCTCTAACCTTGAAGGAATTGAAGTTTACTTTTTCTCCAAATAAGAAACAGTGCGTGAAAATCATCAGTTGTATTGTTCAGAATATTTAGAAGCGATGAAAGTAATTGACAAAGTATAAGATAATAACAATCCACCATTTTTCTTTCAAAATAAACCTCATAACCAATTGTCATTTTGTTAGATTCAGCCGAGTTTTTCATGCATCCATAAGTCCAGGCTGTTTTGCCATTTTATAGAAATGACTGTTTTTGTCAGCTAAGAGAGCAGTAGGTGTATCGAATTCAACAATTTCCCCTTGGTCAACAACCAGTATCTGCAACAAACAAAATCGTCTAATATTGTCAAAATACAAAATTTTAAGGACTATACATTGTTGGAATACTCAAATTTAGATGTTGAGAAATAATATTGGAGCAATTTTAGTAATATCTTTTAGGGTTAGACATTTCATTCCGTTGAGATATCTCAAATGTATATATTTCAGTTTGGTTTATTCGAATTGACGCCTAATCTGGAAGCTTATACAAATACACCTCCTATTTCACTCCATCAGAAGAATCGCATCTTTCAAACCGATGAATCCGCATCAAACTCGGTACATTCTTTTCTTCCCCCTCAACACCCAAATCTTCAGTCTTCCATGACTCTGTCCTAACTACTTCCCTATTCTCAATGTATGTACACGATGTTTCGACTACCCAGAAAATCTACAATACACAGACGACAGGATGTGACACTCCTCCATGGCAAACACCCGCACCAAAGCACAGACCATCTTCTTCAGACACCCCTACACCCCAACCCGCTCTAAACCAAACACTAACAACTTCCAATAACGTTCCAATAACTTAGACATGGTGGGTAGAATACTTATGGGTCTGAGCTCGTTGTAGTATAAAATATCAGCTTTTTGGGGACAGGTATAACGTACGCAGTTTTCCATTGAATTGGGAAAAAATTTCCAAGAATACAGCTATTGACTATATGTAATAAAGCAATTTTTATTATCGGAAAGCATATATTTATCATTGTCATATTAATACCATAAACTCCAGTTGCATTAGTTTTCAAGCAATTTACTGCACCTACATTGTCTTGTTCAGATACAAGGTGAAATTCGAAATTATTTCCGTCCAGATTGGGGGATAAGTTGTTATTATAAAATTCAATAGGTTCTTTGGTTATTATTGAAATTTGGAACACTGTTTACAAAATGGGAGTTGATCTTATTGGCGTCATTCAAATTTTCTGGGATTGCAACGTAAGGTTTTCTGCTTGTAACATTCAGGTTTCTCAGCTTTTCCATAGTTGCTTCTGGTCTTTATTGGCACAAACACGGTTGGAATAAACTTTTTTTTCATAATTTATAAAAGTGTTGGTAATGTTTCGGAAATTTTTATAATGTCAAAAATTATCCTCTGATTTACTCTGCTTTGGCTTTGTCTCTGAGGTTCATTAATTCTCTGAGATTATCGTTCACTCATGGAGAATGTGCTTTTGTTAATTTCACTAACCACATTGAGGCATGACGATTAATTACTGTTAGGAAAGATTCATTGAGTATTTTCAATTTTTCTTCTATATTTTTAGTATAGTATATTCTATGTGAATTCATTTTCTTTAGTTCGGAGCAAACCTCATTCATATCAACATTTTTAAAGATTCTACAGTATTTCATGACAGGTTACGGCTTTGAAATACCAAGATCTGTAAAAACCGCATCGTGGTCTGATATATCACAAACTATGACTCCATAATTAGATGTAAGTTCTATTTGTGTAATCATTATTGAATCTATCAGTGTCGAACTTTTCTCACACTCTCTTGTTGGTGAGTTTATGATTTGCGATATATCGTGATCGGTCATAAAATTTTCTAAATACTTGCTTGAATAATTATTAGGATTGTAAACATCCCCATTCAGATCGACTATGCAAATAATATTATCAGACATATTCATACAATCGTATCATTATATCCTCCGTACTTTTAGTCGACCTTAATAAATGTTTTCAATGATGAACACAATGTTTTTCATCTGCTATGATTATTTTTATGTTGTTAACAATGATTTTTTTCTTGCGTTTCTAACCGACTTCAGTGGTCTATTTCTGATAATCTTAGAAGAAATCTAATACTCACCCTGTCAGAATCCATGACCGTATTCAACCTGTGCGCAATCGTTAGCACAGTACAATGATCAAAACTACTTTTTATGATTTTTTGAAGCAACCTGCAAGTTTCTGGATCCATACTGGCCGTAGCTTCGTCCATCACGATAATTTTTTTATTGCTGACTAACGCTCTAGCAAGGCATATCAGTTGTTTTTGGCCAGAACTGTAGTTTGATCCATTTTCTGTTATAACTTCCTCTAGACTTGGGAAAATATGCTTCAGATTTGCCTTTTCTATTGCTTTCCATATATCTTCGTCGGAGAACCTTGCAGCTGGGTCAATGTTTGAGCGAATGTTACCTGAAAATGTTTGAAAGTAGTTAAAAATGTTTCATGGTGAATATCACCAGATTGGACTTTCATTGTTTGATATTAATCTAATATTATTCGAACTCTAGAAACGAACAAAAAAAAATTAAATAAATAGCTAAAATGACAATTATATTACGTAATGAAAAAAGAAATCAGAATATATTAGAATGGAAGAAATAATCAAGGTAGAAGATGAAAATGACCACANATTTGTTTTTTCATAGATTAGAAATCACATTAGACACCGGAAGTCCGAACTAGTAAAATTAACCTAAAAATATTACATAAATCTTTCTATGTTCCTCTGGAATATGCTTAGGTTTCGACAGCAGACAAATCAAGGAATGTGAATAAGGAACCAGTAGAATGGGAATAAAAAAAAGCACTAGGAAAGTGGTTATTATAAAAACATCAAGGTGAAAACATCATCAGGTATAGCATGTTGAATCTTCCAATGCAGTTTCTGACTCATAAATCCACCACAAGTCACAATATGAGTATGAACTACCGTAGACTACTCAGCTGACTAATAAAAATAGAGAAAGAAATCAACAGATCAAAACTTCATTGAATGAGATGAAGACTGACGCAATTAAACCAGTAGCCGAAGGGCAACTTGTGAATCACTGAATGGTGGAGCTGAAAAAAAATAGATATCTCTAGATATTTCCGTGAAACGTGAAATGCATTTTCCATGCAGTCATTTTGAACATACGAGGGTGAGATGAAAAGTTTCCGATCTAATGAAGATACAAAAATTTTGCTCAGTTTTTTATGCTTCTGTAATTCAAATCAATATAGTAGGGATCGGCTCAGAATGATAACAGGGTTACTAACCGGTCATTGTCCGCTTAGAGGACACCTGAATAAAATGGGTCTGTACAACGTAGACCTCAGCTGCAGATTATGCAACGAAGGGATAGAAACAGTTCTACACATCTTATGCGAATGTGAGGCACTGAATCACAGGAGGCAGGCTATATATGGACGTACAAAACTACGCCCAGAAGAATATGACGAAACATCCAACACGGAACCTGTACAAACTAGTACAGAGAACGAGACTTATGAAATGGGTGTCATGAGAAGATGGGAGAATAAACGCATTAAGCCCAAGCGGCTGCAGTGTTTTCTGGAGACTTGGACTGGATGGACAAGTCAGACAGCTCCCAAGGTACAAAAAAAAAAGCTCCTGTAATTGTTTTTCCTTTTCGAAGATAATCGATGAAAATAACTCTATGACTAACCCAAAAAACAGTCGCCATCACTTTCCCAGCCGGAACACGTTTCTGGTCTAACGTGAGCAAACGCGGCACACACCGCAAACTTTTCCAGAGTGCCGAACGTTCATCGTCTCCCAAGTTCTTACGGCCACGTTTAAATTCAGCTGCCCAACATTTCACTATGGTAAATGAAGTCCCCAAACACAGAATACAACTCACCTTTGATTTGCATAGACGCATTGTTTTCAAAATCAAATATTCAATGACAGCTTGACATTCAATTTTGTCCATTTTCATGGATATTTTCACTCACATCAACGCACACAAACGACTATTACAATACAACTGCGTATCCAAAATGAACGAAACTTTGATGAGTAACTCTTAACAGATGAACAACGATATTCACTGGCTTTCACTTACGAGTGATGCTATCTTCATGTTGAGGTCGGGAACTTTTCAGATCTCCCTCGTATGTCAAAAAAAATTGTTAAATCCCAAAAAAAACTCATCAAGGAGCACTTTCATGATGGGTAGGCACTCACATACATAGAGTACGAATCGTTGTAAAAAAATGTGATTTTTTGTTATCTTCAGTCCTTGTATGATACACACTGTGTCAATCATGGACTTGGTGATCATTGAGTAGAAAAATTTAGAGAAATCGAATCAATTATTTTGATTGTCAATGAAAAAAAGTTTGATAACTACGGAGTATCTCACAATATTTACAATATCTCACAATATAGTCGGTCGGTAGCCAAGCGGTTCGGCGTGGGTGCTTTGTTCACTCACTCGAATTGATTGCCGTGTTGGTCGGTGGTTCAAGTTCTAATCTGAACGATCGATCTTCACTTGCTATCGTCCAACCCGTGTTAGGAATCACACGTTATAAGGTAAGACTTCGTTAATCCTTGGCTCGCACAAGTTTCGACTTCTGAGGGTTGTCGTTCGTAGGGGTGCGACAGCTGGTTAACGGAAAAACAGATTTTTTAAACAGATTTACCCTCGAAAACATTTGTCAGACTCTCACCAGCTATTGCTCGTAAAACCAAACTAAACAAACAATCTTCTATACAGATTCTATACAGATTCGACAGATCACTCACTAAATAAGTAATTCGCTTCATTAGGACGCCGATTTATTTTCTAGAGTATTGTTGTTGAACATCATTGTTTCTGATGTCCATTTCAGTTTTCTCAAAAGCTTATCAGTATTCCACAGATTTTAGAGGTTTGAATTATTCAGAATGTGGAGGCAAACATCATCAATTACTTTATTTCATGCACATGAGGCACTATGGAAATATTTCGAATTCAAGAAAGAAGCAAACCTAGTACATTACTGCTTTTTTCTAAGANTAGTACATAACTGCTTTTTTCTAAGAATCTTAGAATCACCAGGAATCTAAGAGCCTCAGATTTCTGGTGATTCTGAGAGCCTCACTATACTAGTCAATTTCAAACAAAAGATATGATTGAAAGGAATATATTTTAAAGAGAGATACATTTTTGAGAAAGAACGGTTTTGAATTTCAACTTCTCCATCTTCATACTTTCTTTTGTATGAAGATGGAAAAGTAAAAAGCCAAATCCCTTATCTTTCAACGAACATTTCGAACATACTAGCACTATATTTTCTCACCTGTGAATAATACGGGATCTTGAGGAATAATAGCAATATTTGACCTCAAATAATCGATGGAAATTGTTTTAGTATCCACTTCATCAATCAGTATGTTACCCTCTATGTCATAAAGTCTGAACAAAGTTGATATAATAGATGTTTTTCCAGCTCCTGTCCTACCGACAACTCCTATCTTCTCTCTAGGAGCCAAAGAAAAACTTATATTCTTCAATACTCTGTGTTTCTTCGAACCATATGTTAGAGAGACGTTTCGATACTCGACAATACCGTTGTTGGGCCAGTTTTCCTTTATCTGTCCCACCTTTTTGTTTTCTGTTTTGATATCGGTGTACTCTAGTATCCTTTCGACTGCTGTCATATTACTTTCTAACTCCGAATAACGTCTGAAAGCCCATTGGAGAGTACCAGAGACGGTCATTATGAGTCCCAGGACCATTCCAACGTCCCCTGCTTCTGAATCTATAAAGAATCAACAATCAGTAATAATGATGATGAGGATAATAATGACAATAGAGTGTGTTACTTTCAAAAGGTGTGTATTTCAGGGCGATTTCCTCAGTCGCGTTCGATTCTGCATCTCACTATTGCTATTATCCGTTGCGCTCAGAAAAACTCAAGGGTATAACTGTGGCACCCCCGGAAGCCTGAGGCACAAGGTCAATCATTTCTTTTATGTGGATGATCATAAACTTTCTGCTTTGGAGAGGTCAGATCAAGTGGGAGAGTACACACATGCTATCGGTATGGAATTCGAGATTGACAAATGTGCAATGGTCCATCTGGGAAGGTGACGATGCGGGGACTACGGAGAGGATGTGCAACTCGTATACGTCTCTTACACTTACCTCGGGGTGGAACAAAGTCAATCACAAGAGGTAACAGCAGTGGAGAACTCTCTCCGCGGCAAGTATCAGCACAAACTCCGACAGATCTGTCATTGGATCTGTGAGGAAAGAACAAAGTTGCTGCAATAAATATGTTTGTCGTTCCACTCTTACTCTTCTCGTTTGGTGAAACAAAGCAACTCACAAGAGGTAACAGCAGTGGAGAACTTTCTCCGTGGCAAGTATCAGCACAAACTCCGACAGATCTGTCATTGGATCTGTGAGGAAAGAACAAAGTTGCTGCAATAAATATGTTTGTCGTTCCACTCTTACNATTCACCATATGTATTGAATTTTTCAGACTGATTTAATAATATTCAAAAGTATTTCTTGTGTATTATGCACTTGATTTTTGTCAATTTTCAATCTGAAGGAGTAAATTTTCGAAGACTCGAGACCTACATCATTTCAGCAAAGCTGAAATTTTGAGAATGTGTGCACTTGATTTTTAATTTTACTGGAAATTTCATGCTTGCATAAGTGCAAATTTTTTTGGAAATAGTTATTATCTCATAAACGGTCAGAGATAGGTATAGGATATAGTTGATCAAAGTAGTTAACATTGGTTGGTTAAATTCGAACATTGAAAAATATACATGGTATTCCATTTGAAAAAAATCAATTATGGTCGTTTTTCAAAGAAACAAATTGAGACGTATTCTTCAGACACTCTGTATAAAATGATATTTGAGTTTCGTTCTGAAATAACAACCACCCCACCTTATCCTAATGTTGCCAGAATTTGAATTCGGTGTATGAGTTAATTCATGCGATATTAAATATTAAAAATACCATGTTTCTAATTTATTTGTTTCTGTAGATACGTATAATAGACCATCGAATATGGAATACCCTGTATATTATAACAATATTATATATTAACGTGTTAGGAATCACACATTAAAAGGTAAGACCTCGTTAATCCTTGGCTCGCACAAGTTTCGACTTCTGAGGGTTGTCGTTCGTAGGGGTGCGACAGCTGGTTAACGGAAAAACAGATTTTTAAAACAGATCTAGTTTGTTGCTAATTTCAATTCAAGATAAAATAACCATGATATAATCTCTGACAAATAGTTATTGATGATTGATTTTCAAACTTTCAGGTGCCATAATGAAATGTCTTTCAATTTGCATTTCATTTTTTCACTTCTTCTGCTTTCGTATTGAATAAAAACAAATTCATTACCACTCAATCAGGTAACTGTTGAGCTGATCTGAAATTTTACCTGCATTGAAAATTATTTTCACTATCACCGCTGCTAGGAAACCAGAGGCAACAAAATCAATCATGAATGCAAATGCCCTGGTGGCACATATCAACATGTAGTAAGCTGATGTGTATACATCTTGGTGTCTATCGAATTCTTCAATGAGGAGAGATCTTGTCTCATGTGCCTTTGCTATTGTCAATCCCTCTAGAGATGCATTCAAATATCCTATCATCGGACTTCTGGCTGAAAAAAAATAATTGTTTTAAATGTTTCGCAAATGTATCAGTTTCAATTTTTCGGATTATTGATGCAGTTTCAATCTGCATCAATAATCCGAAATCATGGTGGAACTATCTCATTTTTCCGCAGATGATTAATTTTATAGTTAATCAAAAGTCAACTGTTAGCTTCTAATCTAATAGGCTCTAAAAATATATTTTTAAACTTGCATATATTTTAGAAGATTTATTTCGCTAAATTCGAAGGGTTATATCTTTAGGAGTGACTAATTTTTGGGAAAGGAGGTTTTTGGCTTTTTACTATTCCACCTTGATACAAAAAAATGTGGGAATCTTACATTGAATTTCACGAATGAAAAATTCATTCGAAACTCAGTTTGTATTCCAAATACTCGTTATGAAATTGAATCAGATATCATTCCTACACAATACAGTGTGTCTCACTTCTCATGGAAACACCCCCGTATCTTCCAAAATATTCGAGGAAGAACGATGAAACTCTCTGGACTGATGGAAATCCTCAAAATGCACCTACCACCTGAATGGGGTTGGCCAAAGTGATATACGCTGTCTGCCATTCGCGATGGAACACCCCATTTTTACGGTAAAACATATTAGGGGGCAAAATAGGCTCAAAATTCCTTCAGATTCGTGATCAGGACTACCAACTTACTACGAATACACTTTTTTCCTGAAAAAATGTCAGTCCTGAAAAATCCGAATTTGTCTCACTTCTTATGGAAACACCCCCGTATCTTCCGTAATATTCGAGGTGGAACGATGAAACTCTCAGGAC